GGCAGGAATGCATAGGTGATGTCCAAGAAGCAAAGGTAACTGAGGCAGCTGGGGAGACCTGCCTCTGATTACCATCTGTTAAATTGTAACTTTACCTGTTTCGTATGAATACTAAATAGCTGTGTGCTGATTTTTATTGCAGTGATTCCTGTGCATTGGGGACAGTGGTTTCTCTGCGCTGCATAAGTAAGTGTTTTGTGTTTCTTCAGTAACGTATAGCCTTTCCTATTTGCACTTTCACTGAATCTGTCTGGAAATCTGCTGTGCAAGATTTCTTCCCTTAGAATTGCATTTTATTTTTATGGGAGAGATGTTTTTTGGTTATATTTTTAAATCTGAAATTTGGGAGTGAGGGGGAGATAGGAAGCAAGGAGACTGGGTCACAAAGTGCTTTTGTCCATCTATGTATTGGGTGTAAGACATAGGAGGCAATAGTGACACTCTTCTCTGTACTGGTTAGATCACATCTAAAGTATTGTGTGTAGTTCTGGGCTCCATATTTGAAAGATGTGGAAAAGTTAGGGAAAGTCCAGAGGCAGGCAACAAAGGGGTTGAAATTCAATCTGTATGAGGAAAGGTTGAGAGAACAAGTCATGTTTTATTTTACAGTAAAAGTGATTAAAGATAGCAGTTTTCAAATATCTGAAAAGCTGCTATTTAAGAAGTGGGAGAACTGCTGTAGAGAGCAGGACTTGAAGCAATGGCTTCCAATTTTGTAGCGAAGTAGTTCTAAGATTAAATATATGGGGAAAGCTTCCTTATTGTTAAAACAGCGAGATATGGCATAGAGTATCTGGGGGAGCTGTGAAATCTCCTTCACAAGAGGTTTCCAAAAGGACGCTGGATAAGTAGTGGTCGTGGATGATTTAGGAGTATCGTCCCTGTGTCTGTGCAGGGCGTTGGACCACATGACCCTTCCAACCCCATGATTCTGTACCAGCCTTTAGAATGAATTGCTTGTGATTAGTCTTGTTTGGCAGCTGTCATATAAGGTTAGACCTGTATGACTGGATTCTAGGTTGAATACCAGAGTCTAGTATTATATGTTGTGGGGGAAAGTCCAAGAAACATTGCTCGTGCACGCATTACACTTAAGCAATAACCAGCCCACAGTTCAAATTTCTTAATCTCTCCTTATCACTGAATTGTTTTTCTCTCAAGCTTTTTGTAAGGCTGTATGTGGAATTTTTGTCACCCAGATGATGCTTCCTTTCTGGAGAGACAGGTGGTGGGAGAATTTTCTCTTTGGTTTTGCTTATAACTGGGTTTGATTCCCATAACTGGGTTTGATTTCCATCCTGTGCTCCCCATGGTAAAGTGTCCTATTCTATGTAAAATATCTTGTATCTATTTATTAGGGGTTAGAGTAATATAGCTGTGATGGTCCAGGAAATATGTGAGATTTATTTTGGTGATATCTTTTATTAGACTAATTCTGTAGTTGGGGGTGGTATTTAGATAAGCTTTTGGGAACACAGCCCTTTTCAGGTTTTTTTCTGTATCTATTGATACAATTTCATAAGGACACTCTATTCCTTGGCAAACAACTAGGGACCGAGAGGCTTATCTGTAGGTGTGATACTTCAAAGATATGCAGTATCTTTTGTCCAAAGAATTCTTCTGGCTGTTCAGCCTTTTAAGTGGGGAGCTGTGCTTCCCTTTTATGGGATCTAGAACAAAAACATGAATATGGCATAGGTATAAACTCATACATTTGTACTTATTCTTACCTTCTCCCCAGTTGCCACCTTTTAGTTGCTATTAATCATTTAGGAAAATAAGCAATAGTCATACTGCTAGACATCCACCTCCCCTACCTCCAAGTTTGGTGGAATATAGACCCTTTCCCAACTCTTTTAATAAAATGGCATAGGACTAATTTGAAAAGTTGTCTTTTTGGGGATTTTTTTTTTTTTAAGGAAGCATTTTGGGCAAAACTTTCCTGGGTGGGAAGGGAGAACGGTCCTCTGGTTTGCCAGGTATATTTTTAGGATGCCGAAAGCAATAGTTCTGATTTAAAAACTTGGACTAAAAATTTGTAGGGAGAGGGTGACTAGCCCCATTTTTACCCCCAGCTTTCATTCTCCTCCACTCCCTTCTGCATGCTGATGGCTAAAAGGGATCCCTGCGGTTCTGGTGAGTGTGGGTTGCCACCCCACCTGTGTCTGGTCCTCTCAGCAACCTATATACTTAGTATATTTCCTGCTCCTGGAATGATGCGAGGGACCATTAATGTGGAATTTGAACTTATGAGTCTGTTGAAAGGAGGTGAGGGATTGCTGGCCCAGACAGGTACTTAAAAAAGTTAGCCATGTTTAGTCTGAAGTCAATCAGCAGGGAGGGGGGGGATTTGCACGTTATAGACTAACCAAAGTAGATCACACACACTTTGATACCTATCATTGACTTTGGTTAATCTGTAAGGTGCAAAATCTACCCTGCTTTCCATTAAAAAATTACCAAATTGGGGTGGAAACAGATGTTGCATAACGTTTCATTTGTGCTCCCATAAAAATTTTTGTGGCAGTCCAAATGGTGAGCTAATGGATGTTGCTACCCTTTGTTGCACCACATCAAAGGAAAATCAGTGGCGCAACAGAAGGTAGTATTAGACATGGCTGCTTTATTGTGGCAGAAATCTATTAGCTTTGTGGTGGGAGAGCAGAAAGTGATCTGCTCATACTCTCCAGCCAGTCTGAGCAGATGCTCTTGGCACTTAAGGGACCCTCAAGCCTTGGAGCACCTGTCTACTTTTCTCATTTACAAAATCTCTGGTGCCTTTCCATAAGCAGAGAAATCAGATTCCCTGCTCTGCCAGATCTGTCTCTGGCCATTGCAGGAGCAAGTCTGGCTGAGCAGGGGAACGTCCTTCCCAGTTTTGCCAGACCAAGTCCCCTGTGTGATCCTGGGGTGGGGGCCGGCAGGTCTGGCTGAGCAGAGGAAGCGGGGAGATCACACTGCCTCTTGTCCTGCACCAACAAGGAGCAACATGTGTTCCGCCCAATGAAATGGATCAGCTGTGCCACAGCACACTTCCTTGGGTGACCTCTTAACCTTCTGGACAGACAACTAAGAAACCGAAGGCAAATGGGCCGCATGGGTTCTGGCCTGGATCTATGCTGCCCTCTAGTGGGTGGATCATTTAAGGAAAATTAGGAGTCTGCTACTGTCTTGGACCCTTCAAATTTTAAGCAGTAGTCTGAAATGTTAGAGATGACAGTCACCACAGCCCCAGCCAGACAGTCATAATGCATTTAAACAGCAGTTTAACAGTAACAGATAGCTTCAGGCTGCAAGGGTCTAGGTTCTCTAGTTTGTTTGCTGATGGCGAGAACAAAAAATTAATAAGAAAATCCAGTGGTGTTTTGTGTGACCATGATCCTGAGACTCGCAGTTGGCAACCTTGAGGGGGAAGACATGACGGTGGGGAAAAAAGTTCTCTTTATGCTTTTTGTTGTGCTTTAACAATCCCCTATATTTTCCAGAGTGTGGCTATTCCAGTAAGAACCTGACGCCTAAAGGCAGAATAGTGGGTGGAAGTGCTGCATCGCTGGGGCAGTGGCCATGGCAGGTCAGCCTTCATATCCAGAACAATCATGTATGTGGAGGCTCCCTCATCACCCCCGAATGGGTAGTGACAGCAGCACACTGTGTGGAAGGGTAAGTCCTGAACAATTGTATTGTATTGATTTTTGGAACTCAATTAATGACCTGTAGTATTGAACAGGCTATCATTGGTTATAAGCTTTTGGAATGGTGGACACAGTGACTTGAGGAAATGGAGAAAGTTAAATTTTGCCATGTATACCTGAACAATGCAAATACATATAGAAAGTAAAAAGACTTGGGTCCCTTCTACACATTACATTTATGCTGCAGTTAATGTATTAATCACGGCATAAATAGGAAGGGTGTTACATGTGCTACCAATTTAAGGCACCTCAAAATGGGGAGCAAACCATAAAAATATTCTATATGTAATGTAGACATTTTTATGGCTCATTTGTAGGGTGCCTAAATTTCAGTGTGTTGCCAGCAATCACCTGATTTCTGGCCCACCTGGAGGCTGGGTCAGGGGGAAGCCTTAACCTGCTCAGGACTTTAAACCCCTTCCCAAGCAGCACTGGCCAGGATTTAACTGGACCAATAGTCAATTGGTTTTGTCGGTTCATTAGGGACTGCATCAGAGCTGGTTCCAGACCCTAGTGTGGCCCCCTGACCAAGCTGACCATTGGCTGATTGTTGGGTACCCAGCTTTCAATTTGCTGATGCAGGGGGGAGCCCAGGCTCATGATCCCAGGCTCACCTTGTGCTGGCAAATACAGCACAGCTGGGATCTGATCCCCAAATCATACATCCTGCAAGCCACGTGTGGCATCCAGGAGGTGTGATTGTGTTTGGGTTGGGGAATCAGATTAATGTGAAATATATAGATAACAAATATAATACGTGAAGGACAGTGCTAACTTCAGTTAATACAGTCTACCAAAGACTTGTTAAATTTTACTTTTCAATACACTTCATTAAATAACAGCCTATAGAAACAAAACATAAACAGCATTTGAGGCACCACAAATTATATTCAGGGGTAAAACACATCCTGAGTTTAGCCACTTACTAATTCTTGTAATGGCCAACAAGGACATCTGACTACCTGGAAATGCTCAAGAGTCTGAAGTGAAGCCAGGAAAACAATATTGCTTGTGTTTTTTTTTTATTTATCCTGGTTTAAACAAGAGTGAAAAAGAGTCAGTCGTTTTGTATTTTTTTGTTCTAGGTGGGCTAGTAGTGGAGAGAAAGCAATTAGGTTAGTAAGTAATCCATGTAGAAACTGCTTGTAAGTCTTAATTTTCTACTTGGCCTGTAATGCAAGATCTCGCTCGTATGACAACTCTAGCTAATTTTAAGTTCCTATTTGTACTGTGCAAAACACTGAAGATTTTGTAGATATTAAACTTCACCAGGTGTAGGAGTAGGTGGCTTATACTGTCCTATTCTTTGGGGAGTGCCGATGAAGATATGCAGGCCTACTGAAACATGAGACTAGCTGCAGAGGAACTGCCTGATCCTGAAGTCAGTAATACAATCTTCCACTGGTTTCAGACAGTCTGAATGAAGTTGCAAATTATAGCTCTATATAACCAGTGTACGAAACAAGCCTTAAAAATAGGATAACTATTTGATATATAAGTCTTTCCAGTATTCAGTATATTGTCTTCTGTTTTCATTATCAGTCTACACACTGGCAACATGACTTCAAAAGTGTGACTATCTCCCTAAATTGTTGTCTGTGCCTTCTCATTGCAGGCATATCTGCAATAACTGTATAAAACCTGGTTTTCTATTATCTTTTGATTTCCCACACTTCCATGTTTCAAACATTATTTGCAATTACTAATCAAATGGTTAATACTTGGCTTGCTTATTTAAACTTGGCAACCAAGGAGAGGCTGGGGAAAAATAGATGTCCTAGGTCACTTTTTACTGTTCAATGCATGTGCTTGCCAGCTTGCAAAAAAAAAAGGTGGGGGGGAGAGGAGAATCTCCCCTGAAATTTGAAATAACATTGGTGCTGCAGGATGAGTTGATTCACTTTGTTTACTACAATAATGAATAATCTACCCTTACTTTTTCTCTCTAGACAGCTTTCGGATCCATATTACTGGAAAGTTTTTGCTGGGATTCTAACGCAGGATGAAATCCGTACGAGAAATGGACACAGAGTACAGAAAATAATTCCACATCCAAATTACAATACAGAGACTAAAGACAATGACGTTGCCCTTATGAAGTTACAGACATCAGTGAGTTTTACAGGTATGTATTCTGTTGCTGTTGAAAGTAAAATCTTAAAGCTGTAGTAACTCTCCCATTTTCAAACATCCCTGGTCACCAGCAGCATAACAATGCAGCTGAGTGCTTGGGGCAGCTGCCACACACAGGGACTTCCTGTTGCTGTTGCTGCTACAATTGCATGACCAGGACAAAAGCTGGGTTTTTTTTTTCCCCAACTCCCTATCCCTGTCAGCACCTGGGCTGGTGGCCCCTGTCACCCCACCCTAGTTACACTGCTGCAGGCCACTTATAGAATACCCTCTTTCCCTTTCAATGTAGACTTGAACATGCAACCTTCAAAAATGAATATTTAAATTGCAACAAAATAAGATATGCAGTGAAGGCATGAGTTATGTAGAAAGGCAAGAAAATAGAGAGTAAGGCAGGGATGCAATTACAGCATGCCTCTTCCCCAAGAGCTGGCAGGTCATAAGTGTAAAAAGGAATGTTTTTCCAGAAAACTACCCCCTTTTTTTTTTTTTAAATGAATGAGAAACCCAGTCTATGCTACATGTTGATGACCTGCTCATTGTATCAGTTACCATCCAATACCTTTCAAGAGCCTCCTATGCAGTCTAGAATGTATTGCAGCACACAAGCCTTATGCACATAATATGAAGACCGTTTTTTTTCTTTTGGCACAAAAAGAGGACAAAGGGTTTAGTGAAACTCTCAGAACTTAATGCATACAACTTCTATAATACATCCATCAGTGTTTCAGATGTCCTAGTTTTTGCCATAAACAATATATAGTTCTTACGCAATAAAACAGTAGAAGATGAAATAAGAAAAAATAATTCCTTTTTCAATATAAACGCAACAGTGATGGAAATGACCTCACTCTAAACTGAAATATATGCAAGATATTAAATCAAGGCCTTTCAGAGTCTCCAAGATGAAAATACTGGGGAGACATGAAGAACTATTCCAGTTCCTGCACGGACTGGGCACAGTTGCAGATTGCCACACTGTAGCAAAAAGTGCAGAACAGATATCGGCCCTTCTTAAAATGTGAAATTGGTATTTGACAGCTGGAAGAAGTATCATAGTCCAAACCCAAGGAGGGGTGCCTGAGGAACCATTATGGCAATGACATGTTCTACTCCAGCATCCTAGATAAAGGCCAGTGAAACAGTGTTTAAGTTACCTGAAATTTAAATACATTCTAGAAACATGCACTGATGAAAAGTGCATAAGACTAGGTGAAAAGACAGAAATAACATAAAAGAGCTTTGCCTTGCTGCTTGGAGGGAGGCAAGTCAGTTTGCCAAGAATAGCATAAGTCTTGCACGTTGAGGTGTGAACGGTCTTGTTTAGCATACTTCCATGCTAGTCAGCCTAGTGCACAATCCATTTGGAATTTATGATGGAAGTGTTGCACTTACTTTTAATATGATCTGCAAAGAAAATATTTGGTGCCCAAGTAAGCTGTTCTGTTTTTAACTAAGATGTGCCCTCAATCCATGTCTCGGGGGGAAAAAATGGTTTTTATCTCTCGTTCTCACTGCCCTTCCCAAAAATAATCTCTGTCCAAAGATCTGTCACTAACCTCTTAAGTAATTAAACAAGTAATGGCTGCTTGATTGGCTATATCCATCCCCCAAGATGTTCAACTCAAAACTGAGAAACAGGTAGGAGGCCTGCCCTTCTGCTGTTTGTACAGAAGTTGGATTGAGTGGGTGACAGAGCTCTCCACGTGACAGTCTTCATGAGCACAACACCTATTTGCTAGGAAACTGAAGTAGCGGGAAGGAGCCCTCACATGAGGAAGTGCTAATATGGACTCCTGGGGCATTTATACACATGCTCCAGGAGGTGTGGGGGGTGCTTTAATTAGTGCAGCTCCAAGAGTCTCGCTAATTACAAGCACCCAGAGTATCACGTGTATCAGCATCCCTGAACTGATAAATGGCAGTGGGGCACTTTGAACTAAAGTTCATTAAACAACATAGGCGGTGGAAGGGAGGGGGCTGATGGGGCTCAGCCCCCCCAAACGCAGGGCAGCAGCAGGCATTGCCTTAGAGCAGCCTGGCTGTTTGGGGGGGAGGAGTGGTGCACACACTCAGCTACCCTGCGCGCTTGCAGCTGGTCCAGCCACAGGCAGGTAAGTTTCTTTTAATCTGTTTTTTTCTTTCCATGGGCTGTGGGGGACAGAGAGCAGATCGAGACCCCTGGGGCCTGGGTGGGGAGGCAGCTGGGGCTGATGCGGTCAGGGCTGGGAGGCAGCTGGAGCAAGGAAATGCTGCTGCTGCTCTTCCCCACGCCCCCCCCCCCGTGGCCCTTTCCCCTTCCCCCACTCAGACTTTCCTGGGGTTGGGGCGGTGGGCATGTGTGCGTGCATGCTCAGTTGCCCCCAATTTTTTTTCTTCCTCCACCCATGTTGAACAAGCTTTAGTTTAAAGTGCCCCACCACCAGTTTTCAGCACAGGGACACTGGTGCACATGATGCTGGGGGTTGCTGGAGCAAGCAGGCTCCTTGCAAATGTATAGGAGCCCTCAGTTTCTCTTGTATTCAATCCCGGTG